CTCATTGGGCCCGGAGCCGCGCGGGATGGTTACAAAACGCCCGTTTTATAACCGGCGGGTGCCAACTCGGATGGGGCGCGCAGCCCGAGGGGAGGGGAAGGGGAAGGGGAGAGGAGAGCACCGTTACACGGTAACAGGGGAACCGGTGGGCACGACCCGAACACCTTCTCTCTCTCTTCCCCATCCCCGGCCCCGCAGCACCCCTCTTAGCTTTAGCCAACGTTTCTTTCGTTTTCGTTCTCTTCTTCCCCCTTTCTGGGAACCGAAGATCGCGGACTCGCAGAAAAAGAATACGCGCTCCTTTCCTAGGAACACATGCTCTTGCGACAGACAGACAGACAGACAGACAGACAGACACACACACACACACACACACACACACACACACACACACACACGTGTGTGTCCCCACCACCACGGGGCCTTGCATCCACGGACTTAACCAGTGCGGTGGGCTGGTCCGCCGAAAATTTCCCCCCTGGTGTGCAAGGGTACCCAAAGTTGGTGGGCCTCAAACGAGAGGGATTCCCCCACGCACCCACCCACCCCAGATGTATTCTTTTCATGCACACCGACAGGTGCGCTGTGTTGTCGGGGCACCTGCTGTGTGCAAAATGGATGGGGACTTGCCACCATGCATGTCTGTTTCCCGCCCCCCCCCCCCCGAAAGTGGGGGAGATTCTGGAATCACTCTAGCCTCCACACCTTCCTCTTCCTTCCCGGGAAGGGAAGAACGGTTGGCTGAGTAGAGGTGGACAAAGCCGAGGAAAACTTGGGTGACCTTCCAGATGCTGTTGGCTTGGTCAGGGTGTTTGGCTATTTTGTTCTTGTTATCCTTATGCATTATTCTGTGCTCAGTGTTGTCTTATATGCTCATTGGTAAGCCACCCAGAGTACTGGCTCGCCACTAGATGGATGGGATAGAAGTCCAACAAACAAACAAACTCCCAGCAGTTCTAGCAGGCTGAGAGGAATGCTGCAGTTCCACCACATCTGGAAGGCTACAAGTGGGTGGTTCCTATTACAGTCTCAGAGCATCAACTCCGTCTTGTTGACATGTATCGGGAGCAGCTCCTCATTGTTTCAGACTGGAGTCTTCCCTACTTCTATCTTAGCCAGCCTAGTGCCCTTGGAAGATGCACATTTTATCACAATATTGCTGTCCTTGGTAATTTCTGCTCTTTGCCGCCCCGCACCCCCATGGGGTTATGTGGATCCCCAGCCTCTGGAACTCCTCACATGGGGCGGCTGAGGTTTACTCTCACCTTTTTATTCAGGCAGACTTTTGGAAAGTAAGCTGGTTGGCTGCTGGAGTCTTTATGTGGTTGAGTGCTGGCTGTACTTTTAACATATACAGTTATAATAATATAAACAATAAAAGGGTGTCTAAAGTTGTAAATGCTAAAACTGGGCATGCATGCTAAGAGGACCTTATGGAGGACGCATTTGAAAGTTATTTTATTTTTGAAATTGATTATATATTATGTATTAATTCACTATGCTTATGACTGAAATCGAATTGCCCCAACTAGAGTAGATCTGTTAAATCAATGTAACTTACATAAGTGTTTGATTACCAAGTCTCCATTGATTCACTGGGTCTATTCAAGCTGGGGCTATATACTGTATTGGACTTAAGTCTTTAACTTTGGATAATTAAATTAGGTAATTATTATCTGACTGCAACTTGCAGTGCCCTCTTTAGCTACCGTACTTATCAACAGATTCCCCAAATATTCTGTAGCCCAAAAAGAGGGAACTGGGGGGGCATTTTCTTCTCCAGGCGGCCTGTAGGCAGTGTTGAATAGTGCTGCCATCTTCAGGGTCCTTGGAGTCGTCCTCAGGTAAATCCACAAGCAAATGGGAGTCCGAGCTGCATCACCACCAGGGCCACAGACATGGGATTTTTGGAATCCATGAACTAGAGAGCCCAGAATTCCCCCAGCCAAACTTCCGTGGGCTTTTCCAAAATAAAACAATAAAACTCCAGTCTTCTCAGATATCCATCATCGCTTTCGGCTGAGAAACAATGGCTTCTCCCAGACCTGATGATGATGGAAGTGGCTGGGTAGGGATAAGTTCTATGGGAGCTACAAGGCATTATGAGCCTGGGAGTCTTCCTGCCTACTATGTTCGATAGTGTGCCTCTTAGGGAATTCCGAAAATCCCATGCTCCGTAGCAATTAGCCTTGGGCAGTATCAGAAGTGGTGCGTCACCCACAAAAGCCTGGAGCCAAGCCTGACTCCTTCCTTCAGCATTCCTTCCTCATGGGATACTTTGAAGCACTCAGGTTGTCCCACAAAGGTTAAGGTTGACTTTTATGAGGCTGCTGTGTTAACACTTCCTTCCTCTTACACAACTGGACTGGTAAATGCCCTGACATTTTGTTGTTGTTGCCTGAGCAGTTGGAATGCCTGTGAACATTCCATGGCCCCCACAGTGCTTCAGCCAATTGAGTGGCAGGCCTTCCCCACGACACGCAAGCCACAGAGTAGGGGTAAGCACTCAAACTTATGTATGCTTCAGCGCCTCCACACACAGAGTGTACAGTAATGTGCACCATGGCTGGCCTATTTAATTCTCTGTTTGGTGAATCACAGTTCACAAAACTGGGTGAGGCCCACTTGAAGTGACACGATTTAGCTTTCAAAACAAATGGCAGAAATTTGTCACCGCTGGAAGCATGACACTATTTGAAGATGAAGCGCTTTATTGATGCTCTCACAGCAAGGATCACCCTTGAGATGAGCGACTATTGAACCAAGCAACAGGTGGAGTGGAACAAGGAGAGGAAGAGGTAGTTTATCAGGATTTTTTTGGTTGACTGCCGGACTTCCCCAGTTTGTAAATTGAGTTCATCTGAGCAGTGTGTGTGTGTGTGTGTGTGTGGGGGGGGAATGTGTCGGGTGGAGGTGGGAAGACAAAAGCAAGCTCACGCACTTTCTTCTAATAGAACTGATCAATTCTTGAAAACCCCAAACGCCTCTGGTTTATGAATGTGGGATTCTTTATTTTTCTTTATTCAAATGCAAAGAAATGGCCTAAAATGGCTGCAGAATATCATGCCCACGTTGCCAGCAGGAAAAAAGATGCCAAGTTCTACATAGAAAAGGGCAGCTGGAATGTTGACACCACCCATGGCAGCAGTCAAGATGGTCTACAGCAGTGGTCCCCAACCTTGGGCCTCCAGATGTTCTTGGACTTCAATTCCCAGAAATCCTGGTCAGCAGAGGTGGTGGTGAAGGCTTCTGGGAGTTGTAGTTCAAGGACATCTGGAGGCCGAAGTTTGGGGACCACTGGTCTACAAGATACTGTACTCTCTTCTGTTCACTACAATTCGAGGTGACACTGTGCAAGACAAAATTCTTGAACCTTTTTTCATCCCTTAGCCACTTCTCACCCAAATGCAAAAACCGTCAGGGCTGTTTTTCAAAGAGTGTAAATGGTTGTGAGGCATCCTGTAGCCTTCTGCCATTGGTTTCCATATTCATGAACCAAGAACCCCCTTTTAAGGTTAGTGCCCACCTCCAACTACAAATCAGTTCTTCAAAAAATTGCTGGTTTATGAATGTGGAATATTGTGTTTCTGTATCCATGATTCAAAATGCCAGAAAATAGCTGCAAAATATCATGCCTTGCATTGCTAGCAGGAAAAAGGATGCCATATTTTACATAGCAAAGGGCAGCATGAAAGTTAACAACACCCACGGGGGCAGTCAAGATGGTCTACAGGATGCCCTCTTGTGCTCACTGCCATTCACCAAGCAAAGGGAAATCCCAGAAGCTGATTCCTTTTTTCATCAGTTAGCCATATCTCTCCCAAACCCAAGGCAATAGTCAGGGCTGTTTTTCAACAGGTGGGAATGGCGTCAGTCTATTGAAAGGAAGGAGCAAGTTTTGACATTTCTGGTTACCAGCAGATGGTGATAAACCGGAACAAGGATGTTCTGCAAACTCAAGAGAACAGGCTTCCCTAAGCTGGCGCTCTTCTGGATGGTTGAACTTCAAGGACAAGGTGCCGGCTGGAGCTGTAGTTCGAACCCATCAGAAGAGCACCCGTTCAAGAGAGGGCTGCATTGGAGCAAAGCATCCTGAGCATGCGCAGAGGCACGGTGCTGAGGGCATAGCTGACCTGCCTTACCCATCCCTCTATTCTTGTCACTTGAGGCTTTGAGGGCCGTGATTCAAGTCGCCACCACAGCACCGTCCACAAGCAAGAGAAGCTTCTGGTAGGACTGACAAACCCATGACTTGCTGAAGTTCCCTCCCCTCACATACAGAAATTTAGAAAGAAAATGGCCCCACCCCAGCCCAGGATGGGCTTAGCTGCTGAGAAAGATTTTAGGAAATACAGTGCTGCCTTGCTAGACGATTGCCTCGCGGGATGATTAATCCACTAGATGATTCGTTTTTGCGATCGCTGTTGTACTTCGCAAGACGATGGTTTCCTATGGACGATTTTCGCAAGACAACGATTTTTCCCCATTGGAACGCATTAAATAGATTTCAATGCATTCCAATGGGGAACCGCATTTCGCAAAACAATGTTTTCGCAAGACAGCGATTTTCACGGAACGAATTAACATAGTCTGTATAACCACTGTATAACGGAGTCGCTAGAATCCTTAAAAGGAAACATTCCACAACAGGATGTTTTGTTTTGTTTTTTTGGTGCAGGACCTACGTAATTCGTTGTTTTATTCCACAGCCTCTCCTTTGGTGATGTTTTGTCTTCTTTCTGGGTTCAGCACGTGTCTTTCATGGCATGGCATTGATCCGGAGGTGCAACAGACGCTCCTCTAAGAGTCTTGGGCTAAATCAGAATACATGCCTGTTCAGGCCCTGATCCTGCTTCCCACAGGGGCCAAACAGATCCCTCTGCTAAGCCCAGGCGGAGAGCAGGCCTTCTACCAGCAACAGGCACTTTGAGAGAGAGCGAGCGAGAGAGAGCCTGACAGCTTTGTTTAATCATCACAGATGAAATTCTATGTTTTACTGACTGGAGACAGGGCAGTAAAAGCTTTCAACTCCCTTTTAAGTGAATCAATATGGAGCCTTTTACAAGATGAGTTTCCAGATGGTGATCTCTTTTAATAGTAGTCAAAAGACACTATGCACCCTTTCCATATTTTTTCCCTTAGCCTTTTTTTCCTGCTAAGAACAAAAGTCAGAAGCAGTGAGTAGTGAAATGTGGGATGGATGGATGGATACACACACACACTGTTAAATGATAACTGTTGTATTACAGGCCCTTGTCACTATCCTCCCTAACATTAAAGTAAAAGGTAGACCCAGGTGGGGAACCCTAGGCCAGGGGGCTGAATCTAGCCTCTGGTTTCCCCCCCCCAAACACCAGCACCCCAACATTTCTGAAACTGAATTTGGCCCTTGGACCAAAATAACTCCCACTCCCAACATAAACATGGATGACGCCATATACGTCATTGACAATTTTACAGCAGACATCTGGGCTGGGGGTGCATCAAGAAATTTATTTTCTAGACCATCTCCCTCCTGCAAATCACAGCAACCCAGAAAGATACTGAACTGCACAGTTTGAAAATATATCCTCACCATTCTCTCACAAAGTCTCTGTTTCGTTACAGGCAGCATGAAAAACATGTCGCACCAGCCGGTATGAAAGAAGGTGAATTCGTTTTTCCTGTTTTTTTTTGTGCTCAGCTGCTTTTTGTTTTGTTAGTTTAAAATCCTTGGAAAAGCTGGAACACTTTTTTTCTCTTCTGACTCTGCATGTTGACGGAGGAGATCACTCACGATTTTGCTGTAATAATTAGGGAGATGAATCATCGCTCATTTGGAAAGGGCTTCTTAACATCTATGTGGACGGCTATTTTTGAAATGTTTGGATGAATCACAGAAAAAGAACTCATCAACAGAGATAATGCTTCGCATCGTCATTTAGATGCAGAATTGGTTTTATATATATATAAATTAAATAAAAAAACACTCAGCTGTAGCTTTTCACATACGAACTGAGCAAGATTTACAGCTTGCATCAGAAAATGTTATGTAACAGTACATTAATTACAAAACAGGAGTTTCATCTTTTGCCTTTCTTTTTAAACAATCCTTCTCAGGTCTTCTTTCAAATCCTGAATATTTAACAGGAAATGTTCAGTCCTGAATCTTGAGAATGCTCCTTTTTTCCAAGTCATTCATCTCTTTCAGAATCAGAGCAATGTTGTATCTTAATTCCTGAAATTTTGCAACTGGCACCTGGAATAGATATATATATATGTATGTACAGAAAACAAAGATTAGCATATTAGACAGCCCAATACATTTCCTATCTTAGTCTTCTTTGCCCATGTTCATGCATCCTGTTTGTACATTATTCTGCAATTACTTTTTTTTAAAACGCACCAATATTGACATAATTTTAAAATATCTTTTTCCGAAAAAGCATTCTGTCATCTCTTATGTGCTTTGTATCAGAAAGCCAACTTTTGTATGTGCTTTAACTTGAAGACATGTTTTTTTTGGTGCAACCTTCCTAAAATGCACCTTTTTACATACTTTAGTATTCTTTAAAAAGTGCATTTCATACCCGTTTTGGTATTTTGTTAGACCACACATAGGCTGGAAAATCTAAACTGCCAAAATGAAGGGGGTGAGGAAGTGTTCTGCCGTGTGAATCAGGCTGGTTTGTTTAAAAATGTAACCAAGCTGAAATTCTCCAGCATCCCTTAGTCAAGGTCAGTATTTCTAGGGTCACATGAATCATGCCTTCAGCTTTTAGCAATAGGGAGGCTGGAAGCATTTGGCACAACGGATATTATCAAATTTCCATCAGCCACTTGATGATGGATGATTGAAGTTGTAATCCTCCCAGAGATAGGAAGGGAATTTTTTAGGAGACTGGAGCTCCAGAATTCTCTAGCTAGCACATGCAGAAGCTTTATTAATTGGGGGATTCTGGAACTGTGTTCCTCAAAAAATAATTTTTCAAAATTGAATGGGATTTTCAAGCCAGACATTAAAAAACAAAACAAAACACCCAGATTCCTAAGTAGCCATAGGGCTCATGAGGTGGGAGAGGCTGAGAGTTCAACCAATGAATTCGATGGCTATTAAAGTGAAACCAACGATTCCACGGCCTAACTTGATATGAAGTTAAGTTGCAGACTCTGAAATGGCCCCCCCCCCCCGTTTCCTCCCCTGGGCAAGAGGAAGGATAAACAGAATATATAAAGTTACGTGGCCTCAGCCACTTAGCACATGAGCTTGCTCACTTTTTAAAAAAATGAGCAATGAATTTCTTTTCCTGCCTGCCTGACCAGCAAAAGATTATCTTGTTTGTCAAATCTCTTCATCACAATTACAGAGTAGCTTAGAAATAAGCCAAAACAATGGCTACTTATCTGTTACACTACTACAGCAGTTGTAATCCAATTCCTATGGACGGTACCACACAGGGTAATAATAATTACAAGCCATCCAATCAATTCTGACTCATGGCAATCCTTTCCAGAATCTTCTAGGTAGATAATACTCAGAAGTGGCTTCCTATTCCCTTCCTCTAGGGGGCGACCCGACCTGAAGGCTACCCAGGCTGGCTCTACTCTCAGGAGGCCCAGTGGGGGAATCGGACCCCTAACTTGCTGAGCTATCCAGCCGGCTCACAGGTCCCTTCCACATGGCTCAGTGGGAATTGGAAGAACCACGTTCAAGCCCCCACTGAGGCATGGAAGTCACTGCATGGCTTTGGGTCTCTGTCTTTGAGCCTTTTGTGGCATGCAGGTTGGTTGTGAAGATAAATACAGTGGTGCCCTGCATGACGACGACCCCGCTAAACGACAAATTCACAGGACGATGGCTTTTTGCAATCGCTATAGTGACTGCAAAACAATGTTTCCGATCGCGCATTTTCGTTTGATGATGATTAGGTCCGTGCTTTGCAAACTGTTTGTTTGCAAGGTGACAATTTTTCCAGCTGATTATCGGGTTCCTAAAATGGCTGCCCTATGTTTTCCGGAACCATGCTTCGCAGAGCAGCCATTTTAACAGCTGATCAGCGCTCGGAAAATGGCTTTCCTATGGGCGATCTTCACTGGATGATGAGATAATTTCCCCACTGGAGCACATTAAATGGGTTTCAATGCATTCCATGACAACAATTTCGCTTAATAGCTTTTTCAGATGAACAGATTATCGTCGTCATGCGGGGCACCACTGTACTGAGAACAGTCACATCCACCACCTTGAACTCAATGGAGTTAAGGTGTTATAGCAAAGTAATAAATACATAAACCAGCACAGACCCACAGAAACAACAAAACAGTACAGCAGACCCAGTGAAATCAGTCGGACTTCCATCACAGGGTTGATGAAAAAGCCCCATTAAATTCTGTGGGCTCCGTCGAGACTAGAATTGGTTGGAGCTCGGTGGCTCCAAATTATAGGTGCCTGCGCGGCATTTCCAAGCCAGACAAAATTTTGGCAAGACACAGCTTGATCTTTGGAAAATTACTACATATCCACAAAATTATACCTTTGTGTCGCATATTAATTAATGCAGAAGCACCTTTCAAGTCAGTTCCATAATCACTATGCTTCTTTAAACCGATACCTAGCACATAATCGGTACTCCATAAACACCAAAGATCTGAAACGGGCCAACCAGTTTGAACATTTCCAGCATGCCCCAAGATGTTGAAATGATTTAAAAGAAAAACAGTGAAATAGAAGCAGCAAGAAATTACTGGGATTGCCCACTGAGGGCAATGGGATGCATACATAATTTGCTGCTTCGTTAACTACCTTCAAAATGTGGATCTTCTGTTCTATCTATCTGGAATCTGGCAGGTGTGAAAATAGAAAGCCATTGGTTGGAAAACATCAAAGTTAAAGGCCACAGAAGAAATGAGTGGGCATCCCATTAAAATCAATGGAAAACAGAAAAATAAGCTAAGAAGCACTGGTCATAAAACAAATTCATTTCAAATGATTTGGAATGAAAGCGATGAAACATTATTGTTTTCTTGCACATCTACAGTCTCAGAAGAGCCATTCACTCTTCTTGCTGTAAAGAAGTTATCTATTTTAAGAGATAAGAATTGGATGACTTGATTATTAAAGAGTACAATCTTATATTTATTTAGAAGAAAGCCCCACTTATTCTCAGGAGGGTAAATACACGACTGCAGTTTAAAAATCCAATCGTTATATTTAATCAAAGAGAGCAGATTATAGAATTCTTTGTTCATGCTTTGTCCCCTTCCTCCATTCCCACTGACAACGGACAGTATAGTTCACTTATGCACTTAAGGAAGTGCAATCTGCCTGTGTCTTGTCTCATAGCTATGGAGCAGTGGTTCCCAATCTTGGGTCTCCAGATGTTCTTGGGCTGCAGCGCCCAGAAATCCTGGCTTGCACATCGAGGGGTGAAGGCTTCTGAGAGTTTTAGTCCATCTGGGGACCCAAGGATGGGAACCACTGCTACAGAGATTAGAATTAACAAAATAATAATCCTGCAATGTTGAAACAGGGTGGCTAGTTTTGAACCTTTGGTATTTACTCAAAAGATTAATGTGCTGGTTACCCAGTAGACGGAAAGGGATGCAGATGTGCCAGACAGATTCAAAGGCCTAAACAAAGATAAAACTGAAACAAGTGGACCCTGTAATAAAATGTTAACAGTGCTGCAACGATACGTTATGGGGCAGAGTGCTCTGACTTTGCATTTCAGCTAGGCAGGCTGTCCCTCCTCCTGGATACGCCAGTTTTCTTTATCGGTCCCTGGCCCATCTTGATTAGTCAATACACTTTGACCACTGATCTCCCCTATTGCTCATTGGGCTGTTTTGAGGACCTCTCTTTCTGAGCCACACTCCCCCACCCCCAAAATTGTACTTTTCCACCACCTCCCTCTTCTTGTCTAAGTGGAAATCGCACGAGCCATGCTTCTCCAACGCACCAGGGCAGCTTCGTTGCAAACAACGCTAAGATTTGTTGCGAGAACTCCTGCAAGCTTCAGGATCAAGCCCGGCAGAAGCCACTGGAAGCAAATGAGTTTCCAAAGAGTTTAAGGTTCCTGCCGTGGCCCTTTCACTTCTGACCAAGTATTGAAGACCAGAATCCCTGCCTGTACCCGTATAACATCAAGAAGACTTACTTCAAAGCGACGAGCTGACCCATCTGAAAGCTTCAGCTGCATTAAGATAGACGGTTGCAAGGCGCGAGCCAAGGAGCTGAAACCAGTCACAGGATCACCACGATGAGAATGCAGAAGAGACAAATGCAGATTTTAGAGATGGAAAGTGCACATCAAAACCCGAGATGGATTCACAGCCCTCCCAAAACTGGAGCCACCAGCCCCTGTTGGCGTGGCAGGGATTTAGAGCTCCAGAAAAGAGTGGATCCTGCATTCCTAAACACCAACCTCCTTTGGTGGTTGAGAGAAGTTACTTTTCCGAAACGCCCCCCCCTCCCAAAGCAACTCCCTTCAGCTCTCCTCCTTCCCACCTTTGCATCAGTTGATCAAAAAAATTGCAGCGGCTGACACCAATCAGTCCAATTATTTTCTCTGGGCAAATACAGCCAGAATCCTATTGCTGATTTATAGCTAGATAAGGAACATCGCTTAGGCTCTGGAGGTGAATTGCTGCTCGTAAACAATGTGCTGGTTGCGTTCCTAGGCATCTGCTGGAACACGACCAGCACTTAATAAATGAGCAGCAATCTGTCACAAATATCCCCCTTATGCCAACGTAAACTGGCAACTGGAAATTATATACCAATGCGAGCTGTCAAGTTCTTACGACTCTTCTCTAGGTTTAGACCGTTATAAGATCCGGGGAACAGAGAAGCAAACAGGCAAAAATATAAAATAATGTTAAATTTGAAATTTAAACATATCTGGACAGATGTCGTGGTCATTGAATTTGTAGGCAGATTCATTTCCAGAATGGTGACTCCGGTGTCAACATTTTGGTTTACCCAATAGGGTAGACGAAAGCCTGGCTGAGGCCCCTCCTTGCAGATCTTTCCCCTGCTCTGAGTGAGGCACAGAGGGCCCCTTGGCATTGGTATACCCCAAGGTGAAACGGTTTAATGTATTCTCGAAGGCTATCCCACCAACTGCACCAGAGCACAGAGAGAGTTCTGACTCCTGTCCTCTGAAGATGCCGGCCACAGAGACTGGAGAAACGTCAGGAATCAAAATCCTCAGAACTCGTCCAAACAGCCCGAAAAACCCACAACAACCAGTGAAACAGTGTGTTCCTTCTAGCCTAGTTCTGAGGACTGGTCATGGTGTTATGATGGACGTGAAGCCATTCCCCTCTTCCTGGACCATATCCTGAGAATTCATACACTATTTGGTCATGGACCATATCCTGAGAATTCATACACTATGAGAACGTGACCTCTGTAGATCCTTCTGCCTCCAGGATCTTGCAGGGGCCACAGAGACAGCCCCCAAAATGGGGGGAAATGAACACAAGTCATGGCTTACATCCATGACCAGTTTTGAAAAACGGCAGTCTGGGGTGTGCCTGTGTGAGCAGGGAAGCTCCAATTAAAAGGCAAATTAATGCTCCAGCAGTTTTCCAAGAGCAGGAAAAAAATCACCATTATGGGGGAAGAGCCCCCTTTGGGATGTATGTGCAGATGAGTTCGCTGGGACCAGGCGCTATCAAAGATCTGTGTGCGGGAGAGACCGTTTTGTGGCTGATCAGCCAGACTTTGCTGTCAGACTTGGAATCTCCAGCAGTCCCAGGCAGCATCGCCAAGGGTCAAGGATCATGGAAACTGGAGTCCAACCATGTCATAAGATTCACACACTCTCCATCGTTGCCACCCGTCAGCCTCCCCCAAGCTGGTGGTCTCCCCATATGCTAGGGCACCAACTTCTACGACCTTCCAGCTCTCGGTGCTGGGGCACCAACTTCTACGACCTTCCAGCTCCCGTGTTGACAAAGGATGATGGGAGCTATAGTCCAGCACATCTGGAAAGCATGAGCTGGGGGGGTAAGCTTACTCCACATCAGGATGCCAACCCTGACAGGACCGCCATCTTCCCCTCCCCACAGGATTCTCAGAAAGGCCCATCCTCAGCCCAAGCTGTTCCCCCCCATCCTGCCAGTCCTCTTCTCTCTTAAAAGTAACAAAACACGAGCTTTTCTCAATAGGATACCCCTTCTTCTGCAAAAACCGAGTAAATAGAAGACAACAAGGCTGTGCCTGGGGGCCTAGGGTGGGGTGGGAGAAGAGTCTGACTTTTATTATTATTGCAGTTTCCTATGGGAACATTTCTTTAAAAAAAACACAACATCTCGTTTCATAACACTAAGAAGAGAATGAATGGATAAGGACACAAGTCTAAATTGACAGCTCCCACTCTATAATTAATGCCTTCCCTGCCATGACTAAAGGGACTCTCCTCTCACAAACAGCCTATTGAGTGGGAAACGGGAGTGCAGGCGGGAGGACCGGGGCGGTGTGAAGGTTGGATCAGGCTAGGAATGAAAGACAGAACATAGGCAGGCCCAAACTTGAACAAACTACATCAGATCCAAATCAACCGAGGGCAGTGGAAAGCCTTCCAGTGCAAAACGACCTGGGGGGGGGGGACCGCACATCAATGCAAAAACCTTCTCTCTGAATAGCCCATGAAAGACCTCTCGGTTCCCACACAGAAGCAACAGCCTGGCAAAAGACTGGCTTGTTTTACAAACATGGTCTCCCAGAGGGCAACCTCTGGGAGCGAAGACATAAATCATCCTGTCCAGAATCAGGACAGATCTGGATGGCCAAGGCTGAGCTCCCTCCTCCCTCGGTGTTTCTAAGGAAAGGATGCTGCCAGATGATCAACAGGAAATCCCGGGGGGGTGGTGGCTCCGAGGGCTGGAAAACAAGGATGAAGGTCTAAAACGGAGCCCCAGACTGTCCTAGAGAGGTTCGCCTGTGAAGAATATTCAACACTATGTCTTCCATTCCTTCTTCGGAGCAGATTTTTTTCAAAAATCAGTCTACAGATAGGACTGTTGGCTCCAAATGAGCCCAGGATAGGAACAGGGTTGCTTAAAAGATCGATCTTTTCTAACTTCACTGCTCGTATAGGCAGATGGGCTTCCCTTGCATGTTGTAGGGCAAGGGGAACAGCCTGACAAGCCACCGGCATCTCGAAGAAAGTGTTATTTGAAGAGCTGCCAGGACATGATGCAGTCAGGAAACCCTGGTTCAGGGGGAACTGCAGTAAATGGGACTGAAAATGACTTGGTCCAGTTGCATTCTAGGGTTGGAAGTGTGTCTTGTGTGGACTGCACATCTTCTGTAAGAAGCAAATAGGTGGAATCACAATATTCCCCCAGCAATGAAAAGGGAAACAATGCAACAATACAACATAATAGTCCCAACAACTGCCCTCCACATTAACACCCAGACTCCAGTTGAACTGTCTTCAAGGGCAGCCCAAACCAGAGTGCACTGTAGTAGTCTTACTACTGAACAGTTTTAGTAGAGGTAGAGAATCTTTTCTCTCTCCAGATGTTTCAGAGGATAATTGCAACAATCCAATTCTACTGCACATAACTAGACTGGGTTGATAAGAATGGCAAACCTAAATTTTCCAAAGAATTAAGCCACATATTCCTACCCACAGAGCTGTTAGCGAGATGCCTTTCTATACCTGGTAGAAATGGCCACATCCACCCGCCACTTGAAATCATCAATTCTTGGCAGCTTATTGCCCTGCTTCTGCATAGTGGATTCAAGAGCAGGTCTCCTGGGAGGGAGGGAAAAAATTAAGAGAAAGAGCACACAAGAATGCTTTCTGGAAGCAACACTTCAAATACTACAAAATGTCTCTGGGGAGAGAGAGGGTTGCATGTGTCACAGACACTGGTCAGTCAGCACTGTGTGCATAACATCTTTCTTCTAGAACTGGCTTTGCCTATGTGATGAGTTTGCCTTCTGCTGAGAAAATACGAAACATAAGGATATGAAATATTCTTATTTTTGCATTCATGGAGGCTTTCTCGGCCAGGATCCGATGGTTGTTATAGGTTTTTCAGGCTGTTTGACCGTGTTCTGGAAGTTTTTGTTCCTAACATTTCCATCGCACACACTACACCAGAACACAGATAGAGTTCTAGCTCCTGTCCTCTGAAGATGCCAGCCACAGAGACTGGCAAAACATTAGGAAGAAAAACCTCCAGAACACGTCTAAACAGCCCGAAAAACTTACAACAACCATTCTTATTTTTATTTTTAAAAGTTGCAAGATGTGTAGAACTTATTATTCTAGTCTGCTGATCTTAGATTTTTATATCATATATTTTAATAGGTTGACTTTTGCCTGTGGATTAAAAAATTAGGCTAACATTATTTAGAAATTAACTGGATGTCAGCTGCAGCATTTTAAGAACTGCAGCACCTACTGTTCAGCTCTCTGTATAATCTTCCGCACAAAGAGCCAGGATATACATTACAATCAGCCCATCATTCTAGCCGAAAGCACATTCGTTTTTCAAGAGATGGGCCTCTGGAAGTCTTTTGCATCTAGGAAATCAGAATTGCATATACAGTGGTGCCTCGCTTAACGAGCGCACAGTTTAACGACAAATCCGCATAGCCACGCAGTTTTTGCGATTGCTAATGCAATCGCATTGCGATGTTTTAATAGGCAAAACATTGCATTGTGATGATCAGTAAGCGTTTCGCTTACCGATCTTCGCATTGCGATGTTTTGGGAACAGCTGATTGGCGGTTCCAAATTGGCTGCCGGGTCAACAAAATGGCCACCTGCAGTGTTTTTGCATCCTGCCCTCGCTTACCGGGCGGTGAAAATGGCAGCCGGATGGAGAATTCCCCACATAGCGGTGAGTTTTTCCCCAATAGGAACACATTAAATGGAATTTAATGCATTCCTATGGGGTTTCCCCCCCTGCATAGTGATGAATCCGGATAGCGAGGTTAATCCTGGAACGGATTAACGGCGCTATGCGGGGCACCACTGTATCTGAGTCAGTGAAGAATGCAGCCAATTCATAAATTTCAGGAGGTGAGAAAAACTCTTAATCAAACAGCACCTAAATAATTCACTCTTCTAACGACTGGTAATTTATAATGGTTTTCAAAGGTTCTAGACCAACGGATGTCTTCCAAATACTTTGGACTACAATGCCCATTGTCCTTGATCTACCACCAGGCAACCTTAGGGAGGGAACCAGTGCTGCTTATCAGTTATCTCTTAGAAGCAAACTTTCTCTAAGAAAGCTTCTTTACAAAGTCATGATAGTTCACAAATGCAACAGGTTGATAAGAAAGGGACATACATGTTGGGTTGTAAACTGCACTATATTTCTACTTCTCTCGGACAGAAAGGAAGTATTATGGAATGTAACATGGCTCAGGGAAGAATACACAGCCGGAGAACAAGGAAGATGCCATCACCCTGGCAAAGCAACTCACCTGTTCCCAAAGGCTACAGTGGCAAAGTCTGCAATGAAATCTTCTGGAATCCTTAAAACAGAGAGAAAGCAGAACTGAAGCAAAAGGCCAGTTTAGCTCTGATGTATGACTAAACAGGGAACGAAGGAAGGGGGTAAAAAACCCCAAACAATTTTCTTGCACTTGGCAGCTTATGAAGCCGGACGTTCTCTTTTTAAAATTCTTACTGCTTTGTAAACTGCGCTAAGATCCTCTTACCTAAGAAGCAAAAAGCTTTAGAATGAAGACAACACAAGAGAAAGATTTTCAGGCCCGGCCCTACCTTTAGGGAGAGTGAACCTGGCACCCAAAATAGAAGCTATGTTCCTAAAACTTTGCTATTTGTTTTTTTAAGAATTATTGTATCTTTCTGTGGTGGTGCATCACCCTGGGCTAAGAAGCAATAAATAATATGAACTTAGTATTGATAATTGTGACAATCACAACAGCATCACTTCCACTGCACACATTGGGCGGGTTTAATTATACAATTTCTGTCCTACCTTCCCAGGGAAAAAAAATTGGGACTCAAGTAAGCTGAGTATAGTATAGTTTGGATGTGCATTTAAATAGAGGAAATAAAATTAAGAGTTGAGAGGGAAAGGAGCTAGAAAACAGAGATCATGAGGCCAACAAATTACTGGCAGTGGGTTAGGATGGAGAAATCTTATTTCACATGTTATTTAAAAACCAAGAGGAGTCTCTCTGAAGTCTAGTTTTCCCCTGTTGCTCTGCCATTATCACCAGTGAGAGACATTTAACAAGAGGCTTTAAAAGATGGCTCATCACACCCTTCTCTTTATGCAATGCTTCTGCACTGAGCCACCCGGGCAGAGATTTTGACTAAGCCCGTGGAACAAATGCTGAGTTTTGTTTGCTAATTAGAACAAGCGATCACACCCAGACAATACAGGCAGATTTTGCTTGTTACATCACTGCCCTTTGAAAACAAAGGACATGCTGTAAAAGTAGAACAGGGGCTTTCATTTTTAGATGCCGATGATCTTAAGGACTTTTATTCTTTACTGGTGGGTCTTACACACAGCTGAGAAAGGCAGCCTCAAAGGTGGATAAAACACTCTGGGGCAGGCATTCAGCACCAGATCAAACGGCATGTTATGCAACCCCAGGTTGCTGCTTCTTTGGTCTTCTGATGACCTAATCAGGAAGCTATGGGATGCAAAACCACCCTCCAGTAGGGCTGCACAATGATCTCTCATTGCCAGAATGCATTCATAACCATGACAGGGGATGAGGAAGCAAGCAGCTCTCTGTCATCCTCCCTCTGCAAAGCTCCTATCTGCTAATGGATTGGTGCTGTTTGCAGAATACTGCTTCTTTCCTCCAACCATTTCACTAATCTTGTGTGTGCATGTCATGCTAAGCTATGAGTCTGCTAATGGATTGGTGCTGTTTGCTGAATACTTCTTTCCTCCAACCATTTCACTAAGCTTGTGTGTGCATGTCATGCTAAGCTATGAGTGGGCAACTGCAAATGTCTAGAAATTATGGGGCTTTAATTTCTATTACAGTGGTGCCTCACTTAACGACGATAATCCGTTCCAGGAAAATCGCCGTTAAGCGAAAACATCGTAAAGCGAGATTAAAAACTCCATTGAAATGCACTGAAACCCGTTCAATGCATTCCAATGAGGTAAAAACTCACTGTCTAGCGAAGATCCTCCATACGGCAGCCATTTTTGCTGCCTGTATAGAGAGGAATCCGTCCCTAAACACAGCAGGGAGCCATTTTAATTACCTGGCTGCCATTTTGAAACCGCTGATCAGCTGTTAGAAAAACATCGTTTTGCGAAGAATTGGTTCCCGAAGCAGGGAACCGATCATCGCAAAGCGAAATTCCCCCATTTAGACCATCATTTTGTGACAGCAAAAAGATCATCGTAAAGCAGATTCGTCGTAATGCGGGGCAATAGTTAAGCGAGGCACCACTGTATCTCTCACTATGGATGGTGGGACCTTCAGACAAGAAATACTGAAGAGTGTGAGCTAATTTATGGTTAGTTGCTTTAGCCCCAGGTGACCAAACAACAGATTGTCTTCCCTGTTTCTGATCAGTTTCTTTCTCTTAGCTTCTTTGCCAAGCTCCTGTTTCTGGATGGGGAGCCCGAGAACATATGTAGCCATAGTTTCAGGTTCAAATGTACCAACAAACCATGGCTTCTTGTTCTGGTTTGTCGCCGACTAACAAGCCATGGTTTATTTGGAGGGGCTCATTTGTACCATAAATGGGTGGTGAGTCACTTTCTGTGGAAAATTTTATAGCACTTAATTGTTACATGGGGGAAAAAACGTTAAATTTTTTTAACCACTTTTAATAAGATTAATTTACAATAATTAATAAAGGTCAACAGAGTATTAAGAGAATTTCAAAGATGTCTAAGCCAGCATATTGTCATTGCTCAGCTGTAGAGAATGAATTCTGATGGCTGAAGATGCCAGATTCAATACCTGCCCTCTCTAGTTAAAAGAAGCTGGTATCAGTGGATGTCAAAGATCTTTGCTTGACATCCTAAGGGAACGGCTGCCAGAGGTTCAGAGTACACTGGGCCAGCCCTGTCATCAGAGAGAGTGAAGCAATGGCCTCAGGCTAACAGTTAACACCTGCTGGCACCCACCCATGCCTCCTTGAGGCCCCGGCCTGTCCCTTCGTTTGGAGAAGAGGCCTTTCGAGTGTCACACCTTCTGTCTCTCCCCTCCCAAAACTGGCCTGGGGTTGCGATGGTCCCATGGCCGGTGTTGACCCACGAATCCCTGCCCGTTTCACTTTTGTAGGTGCAAAAGGCAACAGTCCTCTGGGCGGCCAATTGTCCCAAGCAAGCAGGCCCTGAGGGCAAGCCGTCTTGGGCAACCACGTCTATCAAGCGCGTCCACTTGTTTCTCTGCACCCCTTACTCAAGCTTTGTTTTCTGCCCTTCTGTGACGCCATCTTGTACATCCGAGCTCAGGGCGACTCAGTCCCTTCATTCTGCAGGAGTATTGATACCGTGGACCCGGAAAGCTCTAGCTTGGATCAAAGCTAGAGATGGGCACGAACCCCCGGTTTGGGAGTTCGTCCCAGCCCCACCTCCTCAGAAGGAGCACCCCAGCACCTCCTCCTCTAGGCGCTGCCTCTGAGGCGGGCACCCGCCAGAGGAGGTGGAGCTGGAAAGTGCCAAGACCCTGTTCATGCCCATCTCGAATCACAGCTTATTTATGATGCGTATATACGGCGTTTATACCTGAGCATCCCATTAGTGGTGCACTTTGCCCTCCCTACGTTGCCCATAACAAGAACCCTGTGAGGTCACTCAGACTACAACAGTGTGACTGGCTTGTTCACTGGCCCAGTGAGCTTCGTGGCCATGGGAGGACCGGAATCCAGGCCTCCCGAGGCCTCGTCGATCCCTCTAACCACGACACACGTGGCCTGTCAAGAGAATTAAGAGGAGCTCCGAGGGAGATGCCATTTCAACAGCCACTTACATGAACAAAATCCCAGAAATCCTGGATTTACTCTTCATGGTAGAGGGGAAAAAATTGTGAAACCGCCTCTCTTCCCCATTTTACTGATGGGAAAGGAGGCTCCACAGGCCGAAGGGGCCCTGGCTCTACCCCGGATATCTTCTGCGTTGGCCAACTGTAAAGCTTCCCCAGTTCCACGCAGATAGGCCATCTTCTGCATTGGCCAACTGTAAAGCCAAGGCAGGAGCTTCCCCAGTTCCACGCAGATAGGCCAGCTGGGCAGCCCCTGAGCATTTATTTAACACGACCAAGGGGGAAGCCTCTGGCAAGGCAACAGAACAGTTTACGAGGCACAGCACGGTCTGTGTAAGACACAAAACCTTCTTCCCACATCTTGCTGCAGCCTCTGCCGCCGGAGGCCATGGCCTCACCCTGCCTAAAGCAAGGGCCGGTCCTTCCTGCTCCTGAAAGCCATGTGTGGAACAAGGATGATTGAAAGGAGGAAAGCTTTGCAAAACTGGCTTCCGAGGTAGAGATCGGATAACCCCTGGCTTCTCCACTGAAAGGTCCACGCTCCACGCGATGACTCAGAGAGCGAGGACATCATGAGCCCACCCACCTCCCCAACGTCTGTTCGAGGGGGAGAGCTCATCTTCATAAACAGTTGTGCATGAAGGTAAATCACAGGTGTCACAGCGAAAAAAGCTTACCTAAGTTCCTTCAGGTCTTCTTTGAAAACCTGTAGGAAAAAAGAAATAAGAGAAACAAAAAGGCAGAAGAGTTAACGCTGTGTTTTTACAGACTTTCCAAGTTATCTGGAAAACAAGCAAACCGTCTAGGACAGTCAGAGATAACCCCAGGCCTTGGTAATAAACCTGGACCTCCTCCATCTTCTACCTGGTTGTGGTTTTTGGGTTTTGCAAGGTTTTTCTCCCCCCCCTCCCCAAAAGGGTGAAATGCCCCTCTTCAGGCTGAGTTATCGGCGATATGAGCTTCTGGCCCAACTTAGCTGGTATGTCTTAATCCTGCCCTTTTGCCTTTTGGAACTGCCCATCACTGGAATACCTTTACCCTTCCCGCAAACCGAATTTGGGGCTGAAGCTCAAGAAGGCTCTCCAACCTGGGTCTAAGTCAGGGGCTTTTTAAACACAAGATTTTCTGGCTGCAGTAATAAACACTGTGTCAGACTCTCTCGCCTCCTCACCGGCTCCTTCTGTCAAAAGCCAAATAAATATCATCAGCCTGAGTGGTTGCTTTAGTGTCTGTTACCTTGCAGTCAGGAGGGCCTGTAGAATTTAGGGCCTGGCAAAGGTGAGGACGAGGAAGTGCCAGCCAAGAAGAAGTTATTTTCATATGGTTTGGGCAGTTCCATTTAATTATGGAGACGAAGTATTTTGTATCTTTTAGATAAGGATACTTGCCCTTGCTGTCATTTAAGTTCTTAATTAACAGGTAAGTGTAAGAGGTCTATTTTGTCTCTCTCATCTTTTCTTACTGCACATCTATCAATTTCCAGTTTCATAATTTTTTTCAGCTGCACCTTTTGGGTCCAGGTGCATGATAAACAGCCCCCTGGTCCCCCATCGTAAACACTTCATCGTTTCTCATGGAGGCCAACTACCTGGTGTAAATGTGTTAAGATACAAACCTCAGGAAAACTAGATTAAGTTAAAATTGGGTGCAAGAGACCAGCTAATTCCCAACCAGCCTTCCTTATATAATTGTTGTTTCGACTTATTTACCATCCTGAAGCGCACTCTGGATGGTTTACAACGTAATTATAACAACTCTGCGCCCAGCAAGCTGGGTACCCATTTTACTGACCTTGGAAGGATGGAAGGCTGTGTCAACACTGAGCTGGCTACCTGAATCCTTCTCAGGTTGTAAGCAGAGGCTTGACTGCAATATTGCAGTTCAATCACTGTGCCATGAGGCTCTTAATTATCCCGCCTCATTCACCGATTTTTACAGAAGGTCCAGTTGAGACTGATAGAACTTTTGAGTTCTGGTGCAGATTCTGTAGGAGCTATTCAAGGAGTTGATCCATATCCCCTGAATACATTCAGGAACTTGGATATGACGGGACTTAAGTGTTTTGCTTTCCATTTTGAAAAACATCATCTTGACTTTTGCAAGTTGTCTTGGCCCCCTCTTGAAAAGGGAGGGGGGGTTGCAGTGGTCATAGGCATCCTTAAGTAAATGAATGTAAATTATAATGGTGCCTCGCTAGACAGCTACCCTGCATGACAGTTTTTTTTGCTAGACATTGACTTTTTGTGATCGCTATAGCGATTCGCAAAACATTCCTATGGGGGAATTTCGCTGGACAGGGTTTGGTCCCTGCTTCACAAACCGATTTTCGCTAGACGACGATTTTGACAGCTCCCTCCGCGCTCGCAAAACGGGTGGTTTCAGGACCTAAGCTTCGCAAGACAGCTATTTAAACAGCTGATTGGCGGTTCGCAAAGCGGCTTTCCGATGACCGATCTTCGCTAGACAACGGCGATTCTTCCCCATTGGAACGCATTAAACAGGTTTCAATGCATTCCAATGGGGAAATGCTTTTTGATAGACAATGATTTCGCTAAACAGCGATTTCAGTGGAACAGATTATCATCGTCTAGCGAGGCACCACTGTAATGACATCTCAGCAGCCTGGAAGACAGCTTTGCTACGCCTTTAAAACAGTCTTCTTGAACTTGATGCCCTCCATATCTTTTGGTCTAGAACAGGGCTTCCCAGTCATGGGAAACCCAGGTGTTCTTGGACTTAAATTCCCAGAAGCCTTCACCACTAGCTCTGCTGGCCAGGATTTCTGGGAGCTGTAGTCCAAGAACACCTGGGCTACCAAAGGCTGGGAGCCACTGCTCTCGAATTCCCGTCCGCCCCAACCTACGCGGCCAAAGGGACCTGGAGGAAAGGGGATCGTGTATGCTCACTTCTTGCTTGAGGGAGGACAAGGGGAGCCTCAGAGCCTCTCGGAGCAGTGTGTACATGCCCGAAATGAGGACAGCAAGCTGTTCATCAGACAGACCGGCACTCTCAGCAATCAAGTTCACTGCGTCTCTGCAGTCTTTTCCTTCCAGTGCGCTGACAGCGACTGTTCCAAAAATTGGGGTGGGGGGTGGGGAGAAAGATGGAAAGATTATCATCATCATTATCATCTTAGAACTGCAGAGCTATTATTGATATTCAATGATAATTGAGTCCAGCCCCTGCCAAGGAGGCCATTCAATGATAACTGAGTCCAGCCCCTGCCAAGAAGGCTCAGTGGGGAATCGAACTCCCAACCCTCTGGCTCCACAGCCAGAGACTTAAACCCCTGAGCTATCCAGCAATTCATCAGGCTGGAAAACTTCGAACTGGATTACTTCAAGGTCATCAAAATAATCTTTAAATTGTTTAGATAAATAAATAGAATCACATTTAATTTGTTCGCTACTTTAAATTCTTTTAGTATCTCCAACCCACCTTGAGACCTTTGACATAAGGAGTATAAACATGCCAACAAAGCAACTACAGTTACACAAGTTATAACTACACAAGTTACAGTTCCATTGCTGCCAATGCTAATTGCTTAATTGTCAACACATTTTTTTTATTGCTGTTTACTTCTAAGCAGACACAGATTATTGGGCATCACTCTCAAACCTTACCAGAATAAGACAAAGAAAGCACAATTTCTAAAAATACTAATAAAGGAACCACTGTATTCAATTGGATCTATTTCCGGTTAAGGACACTGCTCTAAGAGTGTAGCAGCAAAAACAGCAGAGATTTCTGGCCCCTTAAATGCCATCAAGCTTTATCTGGCACAAATACTGTACAAGAGATCTGCTTAACGATTGCCATTGGTATTGTCAATATCTGTGCCTTTTTTCTTTTTTGAGAAAGCCTGCATTCTTTCCAAATTAAAAAAGCTCTTTCAAGATAAGCAAGGTTGCTCTTTTCAACTTATCGGGGATGTTTTAAGTCTGGAGATGTTTAGAGCTGTATTTCAGAAGGGTGTGTATTGCTAAAAACAGTTTTTTTTTGTGTGTTTTTTTTAAATCATAACTCAAAACCCCGTTGTCCAAATTTCCACAAATTTGGCAAGAACGCCTACCAGCTACGCCTGGGGCTGATCTGAAGCCCAGGTCCAAAGTTATAATTTTGGGTTTGCTTCTGTCTCCATTTTCAGAACTGCTGTCAACAGAATTGTCGATGGACTCTCCCAGCACGAGAGTGCGGCGACGAGGGACCATTTATTCCTGCTGGCTTTCAGGAAGAGAATTACTGTACTTTGGTTCTGGCGGAAGGAGGGAACCGCTGGAGCTGCGGGCCGCAAGAAACAGCCTTTACGGTGCAACGTTCCTGCCTTCGGGTCACACTTTTGCAGCAACAGCAATGGGTATTGCCTGTTCGGTGGGGTTTTAAGAAACGCCTGCAAACCCCCCACACCCACCAATTTCTTTCTTTCTAGCAAAAAGGGTTTACCTTTGAGGAGCTTCCGGAAGGTCTCCTTGCTCAGCTCCCGAACGCTCTTGGCCATCGCTTCTACCTCGGGGGGCAAGCGAGCCCCCAGAAAGCTGACCCTGCTCACGCTGCTCTCGCCGGCCAGCCCAGCGGGCGGGTATGGGGGCGACACTACCTTCCCCCCCGCTGCCATCGCGGCCCTCGCCCCGGCAAAGCGACGGCCGCCTTGCAAAGGGGGACCGAAAGCAACCGGCAGGCGGGCCTTGCAGGTCTCGTGACGCGCGCGTTCCCGGGGAACGTTCCATTCCCGGGGAACGTTCCATCCCTCCTGCGCGCCCCCTAACGACCCAAGGGCGTAACGGCAAGCAAGAATTTGTCCGCGGATGTCAGCGAGCGAGGCAAAAAAAAGCAAGACCGATCTGTATTCCCAAAGTTCAGTGGACTACAGTTTAGGGGCCTCAGACCATGAAGACGCTCTACGTTTTTATACCAAGAGGAAGATTATTCCAAATAATACGCGGTTTTGGTAATGCTACAGGGCTGTGTTTTGGTTCCATCATCCATCCAAGTGGAGAGATTGCAGCCAATAAATCAAAAGAACGTGGAGACTTGGAAGGGCGACTTGGAAGGAGCCTGCAGAGGTCCTCAAGTGCAAGGATCTGACACAGAAGCAGAAGGTGAAGATCGTCTACACTGGTAATTTGCATCGCTATGAAAGCAGGACAGTGAAGAAAACTGAGAGGGGAAAAAATCAATGTGTTGTTTTTACAGATATGGCAGGCAGCCACAAAGTCAAATCAGTGGGCGCTAGATCAAATCAAGCTGAAACTCTGCTGAGAGGCAAAAAATGGCCAAACTGAGGGTGTTGTACTTTGGACCCATCTTGAAAATATGTGACACGCTGGGAAGAGGTTAAGGCAGCAAACAGGGAAAGAGGAAGGGCAAACAAGAAATGGATTGACTCAATAGACGAAGCCAGGGCTTTGAGTTTGCACCAAGGGCTATTAATGGTAGGGTTTCTGGAGGCCACAAATTGTTTAGGTTGCCATGAGCCAGAAGCAACCTGCCAGCACATGAGAACAATAACGTAGAGGGCCAATCAAACTTGGCATAGTTAAGATATCTTAATCCAACCCTGGAGGTGACTTGTACAAAAGGCTCTTTGCACATGTTAATTAATCATTGTACACCATTGTGTGTGTGAAGAAGCTGCAGTCAATATTAGGTCCATTTAGTCTGCAGCCCCCGTACCTCCTTATCTGGAACTATGCTCCATGGGAGTCACTGGGGCTGACTTCTAGCAGCCATTAAAGGGCTGCAGTGTCACTATGGGAGGTGTCACTGTAGTAGGAGCAGGACAGTAGCCTACGTCAGCAAAAGAAGTTATTATAGGTGTTGTGATGAATAATAAGTCAATGAAAGCTAAATTAGTAGCCATATTTATGGGCTTGGAATCCTTACTGAAATGCAATCTCATTAAAAGGCTCCTTGCTTTAGCAATGGAATTTGCTCCCAATGATGGTATTTGCAGTAGCAAATAAAAGCAGCCTTGACGCAAAGTTCTGGTTGCAGCCATACCTTTATATGAAGCCATACCTTTATTTGATCACTAATAAATACACTGACAGCCATGGATGACTCTCTCTCTCTCTCTCTTACTTCTTTATGATGGCCACTTAAGTTTATTTGTTGTTTCTTGATGCAATAGATGAGGCTTAACACCGAGCACCGCAATGTTAAGAGTTTGCCTGGATGAACACACAGATTCACCCAAAACTGGAGTATTAAAAACATTAAAACATTAAAAACAGAAAAAGACGGAAGTTGTTTGATGCCCAGCCTGATGAAGGGCCTCTCTGGAATTGAAAGCTCCCCTGTTCTTAGTGTGGCGCCGACTGGATTTTAAACCCTAGTCCCGCTGTTCTCATGAAGAACCTCCCTTTAGTGCCACGTATTTTACCTGTCAAATGTTTTTTAAGTTCTTAGTATGCATCCATCTTTATGTGTTTTATTCATGATGGTGGTATGTCGGCCAGAATACTGCATAGCAATGATAGGGCAGAGTATGAATGAATGTTTTAGTGATTCGGTAAAAATATCGCCCATCCTGTTTTTCTACCTTCAGAGGTCATCAAGTTTAGCTTGGCCAGCGAGAAAAAAAAAAATTCCTTCGTTTTAACCTCCCCTACAGCAGGGGCCGCTGTTGAAAAAGAGAGTCTCTCTGGAGGGAGCAACAAGTTGCCATCAAAAAAAAAATTAAAATTCCTTCGTTTTAACCTCCCCGACAACAGGGGCCGCTGTTGAAAAAGAGATTCTCTCTGGAGGGAGCAACAAGTTGCCATCGAGAAAGGAACCGGAAGAAGGGTCGCGTAGCTTCCGGTCGCCGGGCTGGCGCTGAGGAGAAGTCTTGCCGCCGCCGCCGGTGGTCTCTTTCTTTCTTTCTTTCTTTCGGTGATGGCGGCCGGTTAAGGCCTCCTTTCCCCGGTTCGGTGGGCGCCTTTTTTTCTGTCTCTCTTTCTTTCTGTCTGTCAGGGCCGCCGCCATGTCCGGCGAGGAGCCTCCGAAGTTCCTGGCCCGGCTGGACGAGCCCGGCGCCCTCTTCTCGTCGCCGCCTCCGCCGCCGCGGGCCCAAGGCAGCCTGAGCTTGGGCG